CATTCTAGTCTTTCGAGGTCATATGCGGTTCTGTCTCAGATCAAGTTATGATATTCAAAGTAGGATTTGTAATTTTGGATCCAAACCCCTTTTTTGAAACTTTATCTCCACTTCTTGAAATGGTATAATTTTTCTTATTGGATGTTTGATCTCAAAATTCAAATTTAAAATTTGATTGTAAAATTTCCAAATAAGACTAATATTTTTCAAAACTCAACCCAAAAAAAAAAATTGCATGCCTGATGGGACTAAATCTTTCTCTCCATCTTTAATATTGGAAAAATTTTGTCTCATCGATAGTCTTAACTACCTTTCTTCCATTGGTCCCTCTACCCATTTCTCTCTTGGGTAAGTGTGGACAACATCTAAAATAAATTTTGACCTTCTTCCCCCAAGCTAATCGATAGGGCGATAGTGTCAAATTAGATTCTTGAGACCTTTTTAATTTTATGAACCATAAATATTGATTTTCAATTCAGTACATAAAGTCTTAAAATAATAATGAGACCTAAAGATCTTGTTTTCAGGGTTTAAATAGTTTAGCTTTAAACTCCCAGTTCCCCTTTGTCTTTTAGAAGTAGGGTGAATTAGGCAACTAACTTTACTTGAGTTTTCTCACAGTCCCATAAGCCTTCGGGCAAGAGAAAATTCTTCCCATTTTCTTTTGGGATTTGGGAGAAGCTCATTTTATAATTTCATAAAATTAAAGTCATTCAAATTCTTTTTAAATTCTAAATCATCATATGCTACTCCACAATATCTCATTGTGGGCTAGCACATGATGCCAAAAGTGTAATTCTCCTTGACTTCATAACTAATCTCTTTATCTTATTTATTTGTGTCAGGTGGTAATTCCTACAACCTGACATACATCATAGGATTGAGATTTTCTTATGGGTTTTAAGCTCCTAAAAGATTAAATTTCTTTCAAAATATATAATCCCAATCCTCTTCTTTAAATTTCAAAAAATTACAACAATAGCTGATAAGCTGATCTTTTCTTTTTACTAAGAGATGTCGTCTCAAGTAAATGATCTGGAAAGTACTATGATTTTCTGAATGGGATTTATTAACCTAGAGTTATCCATGGATGGACATAAAATCATCAATTTGGATGCCAGCAAAGAGGTTCCCTCAGTAGTGTTGCAAACCTATTTTTTATGTCTTATGTTTTGATGATTGAGTAAAACTATTTCTCTTGGACTACTTGTTGCTTCTAACTTTTTAGGAATCGAAGATCGGACAATCAAGAAGGAGCCAAGTTCAGGATTGTGTAGGTTTAGGGTTGAGTCAGTCTGTACTTTTGATTTTCACCTTTTGAGTCTACTTGTAATGGTCAAAGAGACTGATGCTAAGTAACCCTTCACACACACACTTGAGGGGCTTAGAATTTCTGTTTTTGCCCACATCAGCCCGGCCGATATTTATATCGTCCGGGACGATCAGCTTAAAATAGAAAGTCTAAGTAAGGATTCTTAATTAAGGCAGCCATCATTAACATATCGGCCTGGACGATACGTGTATCGGCCAGGACGATAAGCTCAAAATAGAAAGAGATAGCCGCCTTAGACAGTTTAGGCATACGGTATTTTAAATTATCGACCAGGACGATTCCAGGATCGGCCTGGATGAAATTACCAAATTATGCCTTAATTGATCAGGAAATCAAGGGAGTAATTAAGGATGATTGATACGATCATATCATCCTGGACGATCGCAGGATCGGCCAAGACGATCTGGTCAAAAACTTTAAGTTACTTCAGTATGATAAATATCGGCCAGCTCAAAAACAGGGCGATGCTCAGGACGATTTGCCTCTGATTTGAACTGATCGGCCAGGACG